GCACCTCAGGCAGAGCTGCTGCTGCCCCTTCCTATCATGGACAGCATTCTCAACCACATGGACTCTGCCTCGCCGGCCCCCGCCCCTTTTGTGGAAGCCCCCTCACCCCTCAGGCTCTGACATCCCACATCGAACTGCCTTCCAGATGCTCTTTATACTCTTCTGGGTTCTAATACCATTGCTGGTCAGTCCCTCCGCTCTACATAGATGCTTTATCCCATGCCAGGCCTAACCCCTCGTTGCCCCCTTGAGTCATGAAACTCCAAGTCAGGCCTCCCCCATGGAGACTCCCTCTACATTCTGCTCGGACACTGACTTTCCCTTACCAGGCCTCTCACTCTGCTTAGGCCCCAGCACACCATGCCGGATCACCCCTCAGTGGGACACCCTTCTCCTCCCACTTGGACTCTAACACCAGGTTGCCCCTCCGGGAAGGCAACCTCCTCTCCTCACCTGAGTCTGACGTCCTGTTGTGGACCAGCATTCTCCCAGGTGGTTGCCACCTTCCTCAACTTGGTCAGCCTCTCCTACTATCCCTGCCCCCTGCTCTCTTCCATACCTACCCTGCCTGGTCCCATCTCATGGCTTTGAACTGAACTAGTAGAAAGAGGAGTCAGAGAGCTCTTACAAGTTTTTAATGGTTTTCTGTTTTAATACTTAAAGAAGTGGAATCCCTTTATATTCACGCTGAACTTACACAAGGCCAGTCATCCATGTGTATACAAACTCACCAGTTGGAGTGATTATTATCCCAAGTGGAGTGAGATTAGAAAAGGGATTCCTCCGCTCTCAGTTCAGCTCAAGAGCCAGCAGCTCACCTGGTCGACAGATTTAGATGCAGGATGCTGTCATTCAGCTTGACCCCACAACTCAGGCTAACTGCGTTGTGTTTACACAGACCATGTCCGCCATATTTGGAGGGTAATTTAAGGACTTTTTCAGGGTGATTTTGACTATGGGCTGTTGCTGCCATAACTGCTGTCTTTAGAACCTGCCCTTGCCCTCCTTACAAGGGCCGGTGGGACTCCACTTTGGGAAGGCAGTGGGTGGAGGAAACTTCTCAAGTTTAAAACTTTTGACTACCTCACGTGAAACACAAGCCTCTCCATTTGACTCTCAGGCCTGGGAGTGAGGGCAGAGCCTGGGACAGAGTTACCTGAACCACAGTGGGTGAGAAGGGAGAGAAGCCTGGATCCAGGCAGGTGCTTCGGGAGCAGGCTGTTCCCTTTCGCTTTTCTTTTTTTTTTTTTTTTTTTTTTTTTTGAGACAGAGTCTTGCTCTGTGCCCCAGGCTGGAGTGCAGTGGCGCGATCTCGGCTCACTGCAAGCTCCGCCCCCCCGGGTTCACGCCATTGTCCTGCCTCAGCCTCCCGAGTAGCTGGGACTACAGGCGCCCGCCACCTCGCCCGGCTAATTTTTCTTGTATTTTTAGTAGAGACGGGGTTTCACCGTATTAGCCAGGATGGTCTCGATCTCCTGACCTCGTGATCCGCCCGTCTCGGCCCCCCAAAGTGCTGGGATTACAGGCATGAGCCACCACGCCCGGCCTCCCTTTCGCTTTTCTGTCTTCTGATTGGGTCATGATGATGCTCCATGATCATCTTCTACATCAGTCCAAAAACCTAGACTAAGTATAGCACTTGGGAAAGGCTTCCAGCTCCTTCCACCCAAACTGTTACTCTGTTGTGGGTGTGTCTCTTTCTGATGAGGACCATAGCTTTCTTGAGTGCAGGACCCTTTGTGCCACAGCCTGGGACAGAGCCCTCTGCAGTGGGGACTCAAGCCATCACACAAAGGCAGCAGGCAGAGGCGGACCACAGATGGTCGCACCCCATTAGATGTCCAAGGTGGTGCAGTGTACTAGGGTGTTTGTTTCTGTCTTTGGACTGGGAAGGATTGTTTATTCAACGATGACAGACACACGCAGACTGGAGTGCAGGGTCCCTGCAGCCTCACCTGCAGCCTGGCAGACCGCGCAAGCTGTTGTGGCGGCTCTAATGAAGCAGGACAGGAAACGCCGCTGGATAGAGCTCTGCTGTGAACCCTGGCCTCTCAACAGGGGAAAACAGGGGCCCTTTGAAGAAGAAGACAGCTGGGTTTTGGTTTCAAAACCTTAACACTGCCATCACTAGATATTCATCTGTCAGTGCACAGGGGACAACATGTGGGGAACAGTTGTGTCCAGTCAGGCCAAAGGGAGAAAGAAATGGCTAATTTCCAGGATAACTGCAAAACTTCTTGTGGCTAGTGGTTCTGCTTAGCCTAGCCAAAAAGAATTGATTTGGTAAGGCTGAGGCTGAGTATGAGAACCAGGGTGCCATCTATAGTGGGCTAGGAACTCCTTCCCACTTCATCTCCTTCATCCTCAAAACAGGTGACAACGTGGAGGCTGGAGCTTCTGTGCCCAAGCCACATTGGTCAGTTGAACCTAGTCATCCAAAACTACTTCAATGGATACTGTAGTCCTAAACTGTCAGAGCAGCCAGCCTGCCCCATATCACATCCCCAAATATTTCTAAAATGATTCAGTTTTTCTCTTGTTTACTTGAAGTCACAATTTTCTTGCAAGAATCTATTTCCCCTTCTTGCCTTTTCCCCCCTCCCTCCTGACTTTCTGGATTTAGCTAGTGGTATTTTGCTTTCAGGAAAAAAAAATTTAATTTCCTAAATTTCCAGTGGCTGGGTTTAACTAGTGGTATTTTGCTTTCAGGAAAAAAAAAATTTGTAATCCTTGGTCAAATTTGTTTACTAAGAGTCATCTAATCTGTGCAAGAGTTTTCTTCTGAGGGGATTTCTTGTTCATACTATAATGGCTTTTAACTCAGCCGAGGTTTATTTAACAGAATAGGAAAGGAGAAACTTATCTGCTCCCTAATCCCTCTTGAATGTTTACATTACACTGCCAAAGTAAATGCTGTGCAAAGTGGCAGCAGTCATTTGCTGTGTAATAGTCAATATGCAGCTGCCAGGGCTGACTGAAACATATTAACATAAGTGATAATACTGTCATAGAAGTGAAAAGTTAAGTTGCTTATCAGTATATTTTGATAAGCTACTTAAATTTTACAGTAGCATGTGCTGGCTTTAGACAGACGTTACTGACAGAGGACTGTGCACTTTATCTGTTCCCTTTGTTGCCTCTCACTTCATTTATTACTCTCAGTGACGCAGCCGGTAATCTGTACAGGGTGCTGATTCCCCTTTCCCTGGCAGGATATCACATCTGTGCGCTACCTCGTGTCCATCTCTGTCGGTAATGGACTCTGTTAGCGCAGCAGGGCAGACATGACCAGGACGGCAAGCGCTTGGTACGACCTTCTTCTCGCTTGCTGTTAGATGTAGCTTCGGAAAATTTCCTTATAGAGAACAAAGCCATTGAAAGTAAGTGGCAAAACTGCTTGGGGGTGTGGATACTTTTCAACAATTCCATAGGATGCATGCGCCCTTGCTGTCAGTCTTTGTCTGGTTTTATTTGCTCGGTAAACGCTGAGCACTGACGGTGTGCCAGGTGCCGTTCTTGGCACTGGAAAGACGAAGTGAAGAAAGATAGGCCTCTTCCTCTCTGTTTGCATGTGGTCTGTTGAGAAAACAGACATGCCATTGAGAACTGCATCGTGTGGGGAATGTTCTGACAGCAGCATTCTCATGACAGGGCAGCACAGAAAAGAGAGAATTAGGGCACATGAAGTGGGGATGGGGAGGGGGTGGGGGACCGTTAGGAGGATGAGTAGAAATCAGCTAGACTAGACCACAGAGGTTGGGGAGAAAAGGGCCCAGTGTATGTAAGCCCAGGCAGTCTCAAAGATGCCAGGATGTTCCCGGAGTGACAGGAGTGAGGGGAGCATATATCTATGGGGAAGTAGAGAGAGGACAGCCGGAGAAGTGGGCAAGGGCCTGGCAGTGAAGAGCCCCAAAAGTCCATCCTAACAAATATGGACTGGATCCTGGAGTGATGGGCATCATTGCAGGAGTTAAGTACAATGTGTGATGGAGATTTGCATCTTAGAAAAACCATTCTAGGAGCCATGGCCAAGTGGCTCACACCTATAATCCCAGCAGTTTGGGAGGCCGAGGCAGGCAGATCACCTGAGGTCAGGAGTTCGAGATCAGCCTGGCCAGTATAGTGAAACCCTATCTCTACTAAAAATACAGAAATTATCCAGGCATGGTGGTGCACACCTGTAGTCCCAGCTACTTGGGAGGCTGAGGCAGGAGAATCACTTGAACCTGGGAGGCAGGGGTTGCAGTGAGCCGAGATCATGCCACTGTACTCCAGCCTGGACGACAGAGTGAGACTCCATCTCAGAAAAACAAAACAAACAAACAGACAAAAAAACAAGCCACACAGAGTGGACCACAGGACTGAGGTCAGCAGCCAGGCTCCTCTGAGTGAAGGGGAGCAATGGCCAGGATCTGGTGGAGGGCAGTAGGGATGGGGAAGTGGAACTCATCTTGAAGTGGATAGAGAGATGGTGGGTGATGGGCAGAATGTCTGTTGCAACAACATGGATGGCTTTGGGCTCATGGGGACTTTGGGACCCTTTGCAGATGCCTGCAGTGGGAATGCTGTGTGTGTACCTCTGTGTGTGTGTGTGTGTGTGTGTGTGTGTGTATCAGTGTGTGTGTCTGTGTCTGTCCCATCATGAAAAACTGAATAGAAACTTTCCTGGCAAGGGTGGGTGTGCTGGGAGAGGCCAGGGGACTACTCAGAGATGGTGCCTGATTGTGGAGTCTGCTTTGAATTTCTTTTCTGTGAACTGTTCTAGCTCTGAGGCATGGGAATAATTTATAATGGACATTCAATCCTCTGCCTTACACTGGCAATTTTTTAAACTCTCAGAAATAATTAGCATTTCACCAGTCTGTGTTTCCACCAGTCTGTGACAGGAGGACTCTTCAGGATGTAGAGCAAAACTGAAATGTATTAGTCTTGAATTAGATCCTGGTTAAAGTTTTTGACCTGCATACTAATATGTCATGTGTTTCCTCTTCTTCCTCCAGCTATCTCCCCTGGTTCGAGGTATTTTATAAGCTGCTTAACATCCTGGCAGATTATACGACAAAAAGACAGGTATTTGCCTTTTTAAAATAATTCTTTTTAACAAATAAGCTTTAATTTTTATGATGAAAAAGTAAAACATGCCTTATATTTTACCAAAAAATGATGCATGCCCATTATAGAAAGTTTGGGAAATTCAGAAAATAATAGGAAGGAAAAGAAAATCACTTTTAATTTGCCCCTACTCTCTTCCCTAAAATAAATATTGCTAGCATTTTGGGTTGTTTTCTTTTTTAAGTTTTTCTTTGCATTAAATAAATGATAAAGAGACCCTTAACATTCACAGAGTTAATGCTCACAATTTCTAATATTCTCAAGCAGCCCGGAAAGTTTGTGACATGTATTAAATTATAATTTTGCTGAGGCACATATTTGAATTACTCATGTCATGCTGCAAATCTGGGGTTTGCAAGTAAAACACTTAACTGGCAAGTGACCTACCCAGCTGTCCTGAGTTCCCGTTTCAATAAAGCTTTGTGGTGCTTTTACAATAACTTTTGTGGGGGTCTGAAAATTACATTAAAAATTCATCTGTACCTTGCTGTACTTTTGGAAGAAGTGGTAAGGTAAGGTATCTTCCATGGATGTCAAAGGCCAGTTGGACCTTTATGTAGATTTTTGTAGCCCACATTTTCAGATACCATTATAACGAGCGTGCCTCCCACACTGTTAAAAATGTTATAAATATTTTTCATGGCTGCATACCATTTTATCATGTACCTTGATTTACTGAAGCATTTCCTATTATTGCGAATTGTTAATTGTTTGGGATTTTTCTACTGTTATGAGAAGTGTAACCATTCGCATCTATGAGAGTAAAGCATTTTCTTCATTTTTGGATTGTTTCCTTAAAAGGAGAATCCCAGATGGGCCATTGTAAGGTCAGTGGACATAGACATTTTTAAAACATTTGCCAAACTGCTTTGCAAAAGAATTCTGCTGTTTTCTTAAAGGATACCCTTTACCAGCAATGTAAGAGAGTGCCTAGGTCATGATACTCTCTCATCAGTACCATTTGTTGAATTCATTGTTTGACAAGTAAAAAAGTCTCATTGTTTTAATTGCATTTCTTTGATTGTTAATGAGTTGAATATTTGTCTATATATCTAATGTCTTATATTTTCCTTTTTGTATATGGCCTAAGATTTTTAATTAAAGTGATCCATTATTATTAAATGTTAAGGAAAGATTTCCCTTAATTTTTTTCTGTTGAATGTTCTGAGTAATTTGAGTGTTAGTTCTGAGAAATGGTCCATGAAAAGGGTACCAGTTCAGTCACACTGGGGTCCAGGGGAGGGAAAGCTGTGTTTCATTTCCATCTCCTTAAGATTCATTTAATGTAAGCTCTACGAAGTCCTGCATTGGAGAAACCTGGGTCACCTGTGCTTCCCATCTTGTTTTGCCCGAATCCCCTTTAATTCTGTGATAAATCTTAGCGTTCTGAGATAGCAGTGTTTCCTGGAACACACTTTGGGAAATGCCGTTTTGGAGGAAAGGGGGAAATTGTGTGTATAATGACTAAATCATTTTTTTAGAGACAGATTTACTCACTGGCAAATGTATTCCGGAGGTCACAGTAAATGGAAAGAATAACTAATAGAAATGGCGTCCTTGATCACTACACTCACTGTGAAAAGAAGCTTAGATGTCAGGGGATTCTGTCATAAAAGAAGTGGATTACTCTTTGATGAATGAATTAGGAGGTCACCTTGGGTCTGTTCATCGATTTCTGATTCACAGTTACCTTTAGTCAAACATTCCAGTTTTCACTCAAGTTTGAAAGGTGTCTTTAATAAATAGAATTGTGTAATATGTGGGCTCTTAACAGGTTTGAATTGGAGATTGACTCACATTTTTTTCCCTCCATATGTTCCAGTCCAAAAAAAAGAGAAAAAACTCAGTCAAACAAAGAACTTAGTACACTTTTTAAAACATGTGATTCAGGAAAGATTATAAAAGGGTAGGTGCAACCTACACATATGGGAAATGGATTATTACCCTGTAAAATTGGTGAACCTTTCCCCTGGGCCATTGCTCCAGCAGGACTCTGCCTCTTGGGATGTCAGAGGCTGAGATCAGTAACATGTTTTAGTTGGAATCTATTTCTCTTGAACCCAGGACTCTTTTTTTCCCCCTCTGGTTAAAAGAATTATGACACAGATGATAGGAAATCTGCCTACAACTGGCTTAATTGTTTGCAAGATTTTAGTCACCAGATTAGAACAGGAAGAGAGTTTTTATTTAAAGAAACAGAATCTACCTCCTGCACCAGGGCTGAAACCTTCTCTTATCCAAAAGTCATTGGGAAGGTTGGGAAGCAAGATAGGCTTCTATTTTCTCTCTCTCTCTTTCTCTGTGTGTGTGTGAGAGAGAGAGAGAGGCAGAGAGAGACAGAGACGGAGAGATTGTGATGGCTAAGCATGGGGTGTGGGAGACTAAGGTGTGGGTAACTGGGGTATCCGTTTGGGCCATGGACCCATCATGCTCATCAGACCTTGAATGGCCACCCTTGTGGAAGGGATGACAGGGCAAGGGGGGCATCTGAGCCAGGGAGTAAGGTGTTGGAGCCTGAGGGAGAGAAGGATGTTTGTGTGGGAGCATGGTGGTAGAGGCTCAGCATGGGATGTCAGAACTCAAATAGGATCCAGAAGAATCCATGTGAGAAGGGAGGCAGTAGCTGTGGCCCAGTGCTGGTGTATTGGATCCTGAGGTAAGGAAGGCATTTGTGTGAGGGGTTGGACAGTAGAGACCCAGCCCTGGATGTCTGTGTCAGGGAGAGGAGGGAGGGCATCTGGGTAGGGAAGGAGGCAGGGATGGGAATAGAAGAGTGGTTCCATACAAATAACCAAATATAAAAAGAAAATACAGGCAAGTTTTTTCACTTTTGTAGGATGATGTCACAGATATGTAGAGGGAGAAAACTAGAATAATTTCTATGTTGGATTGGAATAGGAGCCATTGGTATGAACCCATGGTTTTCAATATGGGAAGATGGATATAGAAATAAATAGATATGTGAAGTGCCTATTGTGGTTCCATGTGTGTATTATATATTATCTGGCTCCACTGACTGAAAGGGCCTGGCATAAGCAATACTAAGGAGCAGTGAGCACACGTGGTGCCCAGATCTTGGTTTCTAAATACCATTGTCCACTAAAAGAAACCAGGACTCATTGAAGAAATAACCTGATTCTGGGGCTGAGGCAGGGAAAGTATAAGATGAACCTGAAATATCTTTTGTGCCAAAAAAGTAAGGAATTGCTAAAAATATGATGTCAGAAGGGCACAAAAGCAGTAAGAGGACTCCCACTAGTCATATCTGGAACAAGTTGAACATCAAAACGAATTAGGATAGTAAAGGATTATAGTACACTGAATAAAACAGGAAACCATGGGCCCATGGTAATAAAATAAGTAAATGGATACATTGAAAGTTTGAGGAATGGGATATTTACATAAAGTGACAATCCACAAAATGGTTATCTACTGCAAAGAGAAAGAGTAATGTTACTGTAGAGATATCAAATGAATTAATCAGTTGATGAAAGCAAACATCATGAGTAAAGGGATATTGAAATCAGACATTAGACAGAACATTAGACAACTGAAAGTTATTCTACAAAATGAGTGGTCTCATTGTCAAGGCTGTACAAATCTAGAAAAGACTGAGGAACTGTTCCAGCCTGAGGATGAGTAGAGGGTTATAACTACTAACTGCAACATGTGATTCTGAAGTGGATTGTTTGCTGTCAAGGATATTATTGGCACAGTTGGCAAAACTTGAGGATGAGGTGGTAATTCTGCATCTCAGTGTTAATTTCCTCTTTATTATGATTCTCTTAGTTTGTTTTCTGCTGCTATAACAATACCACAGACTGGGTAATTTATAAAGAAAAGAGATATATTTGGCTCACAGTTCTGGAGGCTGGGAAGTCTAAGAGCCTGGTGCTGGCATCTGGTGAGGACCTTCTTGCTGGGTCATAACATGCAGCACTCAAGACAAGAGACACAAGATAGGGGCCAAATTTATCCTTTATCAGAAGCCCACTCTCACAATAATGGCATTAATTCATGACATAATCACGTCTTAAAGGTCCTGTCTCTTAATACTGTTACAATGATAATTAAATTGTCAGCACATGAACTTTTAGGGGGATACATTCAAACCACAGCAATGATTAATTGTGGTGATTTAGGAGAATGCCCTTGTTTGTATCTGTGGATGGTGGAGCATAATTTTGGCAGCTTATTCTCAAATAGGTCAGGAAATAATAAAGTTTTTTTTTTAACAGTTTCTACAACTGTTCAGTAAGTTTGAGATTGTTTCAGAGCAAAACTAAGCACATGCGCGCGCGCACACACACACACGTTCATCTCTCTCCTCTCTTAGAAGCTTGTTTGATTTGTCAGAGCTCAGACTGAAACAAGCTTGTAGTCTGGGTACATCTTCTTTTTCCTCTCCTTAAATTCACTACTTAAAGAAAGCTGTACTGAAGCCAGGAGGGCTCTGGAGCCTGCATTTCACCCCATAGCTGTGCAACTTACTAACGGGCTGATTTGAGACAAGTTGCTTCACCTTTTGGAGCCTCAGTTTTCACATTGTTGAAGTGGGTAGTTGCGAGGATCAAATAGAGGATAAATAGATACAAATATACACTTATCAGTATTATATTAGCACAAATAATTACACAGGGTGGGAGAAATAGCATTTGGATAATTCTGTGAGCAGTATTCTTTTGAGCATTTTAGAGGTGAATCCATTTTCAATCAAATAATTTATATCGCTTTGTATGTCATTATGTTGCTCAATTTCACGAATTAGAATGCATAGCCACCATCCTATATTGCATGCTGTTGTACTTAGTTCATTTCTAACTTTCCATAATTGGAGGCTGCCATGTGTACCCAGTGTAACTCAATAAAATTAATTGAGGGTAATGATGATGAAGACAAGATCTATAGTGTCATCGTTATTTCTCCAACCACCCCCGCCCTGTAAGCTAGGATTGTTTGCATTTAAAAGTTGTTGCTATGGAGTTTAGGGGATAGATTTGCTGAGAGCTTATGGTATATGATCCATAAAAGGCGGTCATGGTAGGTGTCTCACTGAGTAGAAAATGTCAAACTTGGTGTAGGAGGATCTATTTGGCTCTTATGTTTGAGGCATACGCAGAGTCTTTTGTCAAACCCTATGTGAATATCAAACCTATTTCTGTGCTGGGGCCAGCATCTCCCCAACCCCCTCAGTCATGTGTGCCCAGACCTCCCTGCAGGTATCTTACTAAGGGCTGAGCCTTGCTTTTGTTACTTAGGCCTTTTATTTCTTTCAGGAAAATCAGTGGAATGAGCTTCTTGAAACTCTGCACAAACTTCCCATCCCTGACCCAGGAGTGTCTGTTCATCTCAGCGTGGTAAGTGGGGCAGAGTATTAGCCATCACTGAGAACCCATTTCATTATTGACAGTAAGAAGGAAGTAGCTGAACAGGATTGTATTTTGTCACCTTTACCTACCCTACCCCTACCCCCAAATACTCTGACACCTCTGAGCTCAAGATAGGCCAGGGAGCTGAATTTCTTCCTTTCTCTGAGATTCTATAAGAAACAGACACGTCCTAAATGTCCCTAGGCTCCTCTGTAGCCATCATGCCATCACCAGCATCTCTTGGATCACAGATGCTGGGCTGAAATAGGATACCTGGCTCCGCCTGCTTCTTCAGTTCCCTGTCCCAGTCTCCCTGTATCACCCTTGCCCTGCAGCACTGCTGTGCGTGTCCCTTTGCTGAAGCCCATCCTGCACCCTCAGCTTTCAACATTTCCTCTCCCCTGTTTGCCAGGATAACACATATTCATCCTTCAGAACTCAACTCTGATTTTATTTCCAGAGAAATCCTCCCTTGATACTTCATAGGTTTTGCCAAGTTTACCTCCTTCGCCCCAAGCATCTTGCATACTTTGTGGTACTTAGTTACACCCTATTGGCATGCTTCCTTTTCCTATCCCCCTCACTGGACTGTGTGTCCCTTGAGGACAGAGAGGGAGAGTGCTTAGTGTTGTTCCTGGCCTACAGTAATAGTTTCTTTGAATGCCTATAAATATATGCTGCTACTACATGTTCTGCACTGTGCTCTGAAATACCAATTGGGAGATTTCCATCCTAGTCATTGTCTTGCCAATGACCTGAGTGACCTTAATCAGGACCTTTAACCTTGTGGGCTTCAATTTCCTCATCTGTCAGATAAGGCATCAGAAGAGGTGTAGGAGATCTTTTCCATATTTTGGTTCCAGGAATTCTCTGATTCCCTAGGTCAAACCATCAAGCCCTTGTCACTACCTTCATCAGAATTCTCAGATGGATATACTTTGACCAAGTATTGATTATTATCCAGGGGCTATTTCCCTTATGTCATGGGACCTGAGAATTTTAAGAGTTTTGTCTTTCATCTTCATTAGAACCTGGTACAGTGTTGGTATTCAGTGGTGGAAAGGTATCTCCTCTCCTAAAGAAAATTAATATCCCTTATAGGTTTTTTCAGAATGATGATAAAATTGAAAGCAGTGTTACTACCAGTAGTTAATAATAGATCTACTCTTTTAGTAAGTTCCTAATTTATACTAAATATGTATCTCTAATATTCAAAACAAGTCTACAAAATAGATATTAACATTCCCATTTCATGGATGAGATTTCAAGAGGAAAAAATACTTGCCCTTCCAAGGTCGTGTGGTTAATAAGAGATAAGACTTGAGTTTTCAAAGCCAGGGCTAACTTCAAGCCTATGTTCTTCCCACTGTGCCATTCATGTGGAAGGAGAGGGAGAGAAGGAAGGAAGAAAGAAAAAAATGAATTTACAGAGACTTTTGCCCATTTTAATAGAGCATAGGAAAGAAAGAAACCTTGTTACAAAAATTCTCATACGGCAGGGGAGACCATCTGGAAAAGATGAACAAATGAGCTTTAAACCTGCCCCAGTCCTTGCTGTATAGCTAAGCAACCCTGCCTTTGTCTCTGTCCTTTTTCCTAAGCAGCTTGATCTCACCACTTCAGTCCATAATGACATCCGACAGGTAGCTGTGGAGTAGCCTGGCTGGGTCACCAGCTGCTGGGGAGGAAGGTCCTCTCCTTCCTAAGAATGGCTGCTCAGGCAGTGTGCATGCCAGGCCTCAAGGACAAGCCATCTCAGGGGCAGCAGGAACTGCTGGGGTGGCGCAGCTGTTTCATGCCAGTGGTTTCTAGGAATGTTTCTGACCTCCCCTGGTCCCCAGCATTTCATGGGCAATGGAGCAAGACAGAATCTCAAAGGACAGCCTGGGGACTACTTGGTTTTGGAATTGTGTTGGCTCACTATTTACTATCAATTGCATCTATAAAGGCAGATATTTTTTTCTTTCCTTTTCACTGGGAATTCCTCTCTCCATATTGCGTTTCTGATTTTGAAGGGCCACTCTCATCTAGGTTATACATCCTGAAATGTTGATAAAATTGTAATCCTGGACTTTTTGTCTGTAGTCACTCTCTGCAAGAGTATATTTCTATGTGTCTTACATGAGTGATGATAAAAATAGTAATATGAACTAGCAGTTCAGGGCAATCATAATTTTACATTAAAATACCATTTATTGAATGGTAGGCATTTCATATATATAACATTTATTCTTCACAACAGTTTTGAAGTAGATAATATTCCCATTTACAGATTCAAAAACAGGTTCTGCGCTATTAAGTGAATTTGCTGAGCTACATAATCACCACATGGCCATTTGTTACTGAACTAAACTTCTAGCCCTTTGGTATAGAAGTTGGTATCTCATGGAGTCATATTTGAACCTTGCATTTTACTTTTCCTGTTTTAATCCTCATTGTTGAATTAATCACTTACTAGTTTCCATGCTACACCATCTCTACTGAAATACTTCATAGGTAGTATTTTGATATACACACAGATTTTGGAATAATGCATCGAAGAAGGCTTTTTTAAAGTTATCTATTTTATACTTTTTATTTTTTACTTTTTTATTTGTTTAAATCCCTTTAGCTGTCATCTGCACATAAAAAGCACAGGTATAACAGTCTGTCATGGTGGAAAGAGCACAACTCTGGTTACACAGATTTAGTTTTGGTCCATATTCTGCCACGCACTAGCTGCGTGACTTTTGACTGGCTACTTGACCTCTGTGAGCATTAATTTACCCATTTGTAATATGGAGATAATATCTATCTCAAAATTTGTTATGGGAATTAGAGATAACATTTACAGAGTACTAGACGTAATGCCTTTCATGTAGCAGGTATTCAACAAATATCTGTTGAATATTGGACAAGTACCTTACACTATTATTGTTGTCATCATCATCATTATGATTGTCCCCAGGGCCTTTCATTTCAGAAAGCCTATACAACTCATTCTTCTAGACACCTACCTATTTTGCAATCACCCAAGAGTGGGGGTTGGGGTGGACAACTTCTTGAAATGTCACTTGGGGGTCCAGGTTTGAACCTAGGCCATGGCTAAGCTGACCTTCTCTGCATGTGACCTTTCCTGGCCTTTGCACAATCCCATCTTTAATTGGCCGGCACCAAGCTCTTTCCGTTCCTGCTTGCCATTGTCTTCTGAGTCTTTAATAGCAGCAAAGGGTGTCATCAGTTCAGCCTGTTGTCATTTAACTCAGGGATGCATGCTTGTTACATATGGAGATGCCTCATTGGAAGTTCTTTGAAGAGGTCAAGTTTTCAACTCCACTGAGTCCTCTAGTCAGGAGGCTTATGATGGAGTGGGCTTCGGGGGCAGAATTTCTCTACTCTTAGTCATCTGCAGGGGTCTCAGTTCCAGTGCTCCAGCAACTGGAGCTCTTCCGAACATCACTTAGGCCTTTGGGGCAGATTTTGGTCACATTTTGTAGATGAATATAATCTCAGATGCTGAAATGAGATGACAGGTTTGGTTGGTAAAAATCATCACTGAGTGAATCTGGTGATATTTTGTTCCTAGAATACACTTGCCTTACTGAACGATAAATTATGAAACCAACGCCTTTCATGTGTTTAGCCATTTAACATCTTTGAACTATTTATTTATTTATTTAGAGACAGAGTTTCGTTCTTGTCACCCAGGCTGGAGTGCAGTGGCACGATCTCAGCTCACTGAAACCTCCGCCTCCTGGGTTCAAGCAATTCTCCTGCTTTAGCTTCCCGAGTATCTGGGATTACAGGTGCCCGCCACCATGCCTGGCTAATTTTTTTGTATTTTCAGTATAGGCGAGGTTTCCCCATGTTGGCCAGGCTGGTCTCGAACTCCTGACCTCATGTGATCCACCTGCCTTGGCCTCCCAAAGTGCTGAGATTACAGGCATGAGCCAACACTCCTGGCCTGAACTCTTCATTTATATCTCCCAAAGAAGTTCTCCTCTCATAGGAAAGAACTCCATCTACCAGAGTGATGATTTAATGCATCTGGTTCAATCTGACATTATCCAAAGAAAATATTCCATGGGTGTTTCTTCTGAGTGAAACGGTTTCCTTTTCTGAGTAAGAAAATATTTTCCAATCATTTACCTGAATTCTGAGTATGCAACTGTTAAACATTTTAGCAGAAATAAATCACTTTTGCTTTTCTTTTCTAGCATTCTTATTTTACTGTGCCTGATACCAGAGAACTTCCCAGCATCCCTGAGAATGTAAGTACTTGGGAAGAAAAAATTAAATTTTTATTCTTCTCTGTTTTCTGCTTATTTGTTTTAATAAATAAAGGATGTGATTTAAAGTATAATTACAAAAATTATGATTTTTAAAAAGAACACATTATAAAAACAAAAATAGAACTGAAGTATATTATAAAAACAAAACAAATAGAGAATATTTGCAAAGTATAGAAAGTATAAAGACTGAGGGATTGTTATTCCTATTTCTCAAAGGTAATTATGTATTAATATGATATTTAATTCCCCCTTTTTAGAATGTATTTTTACATAGTTAAATCACCTATTACAAAAACATCTTTTCCATTTTCATTCACGTGACTTATTTTTGTCAACTGTGTAATATTCTATTTACTCTGTAGTTTATTTAGCCATTCTCTCACTGTAGAACATTTAGATTGTTTCGCATTTCTGCTATTATAAGTGAAATGTTTCCACATAAAGAATTTTCCAAATAGAGGTTTATTAGGGTAGATCAACTCAAGCAGAATTACACTTTTACTTCTTACCCTTGTATATTTATCTTTCAGAGAATAAAGTATTTGTGGGTAAAGTATGAGGGCCTCCATCCTTACCTCCAAAGGACATAGGAGCAGTGAACTAGAGTGTGAGAGAGCAGAAGGTTGATGTTTGCCTTCTGAACAAGCTGAATGACATATCTAGTCTAGCGCTTGACATGTTTTCAAAATGTTTTACTATGATTATAAATAGTACTATGTAGAATCAGATAAAGAATGTCTACCACTTAGACACTTGATTACTTTTTTAAAATTGTGGTAACAAATACATAACATAAAATTTACCATGTTAATCATTTTTAAGTGTACAGCTCGGTAGTTTTGAATGTATTCATATTTTGTACAGTCAATGTCCAGAACTTTTTGTATCTTACAACACTGAAACTCTGTACTCATTAAACAATTCCCCATTACCCTATCTCTGCAACCCCTGGCAACCATCAATCTGCTTTTTGTCTCTATGAATTTGACTACTCTCCATATAGTACTTCACGTAAGTGAAATCATACAATATTTGTCCTTTTGTTCTGAGTTATTTCACTTAGCGTAATGCCTTCAAAGTTCATCTGCATTGAACCATATGTCAGGATAGCCTGCCTTTTTGAGGCTGAATGATATTCCATTGTATGTATAGACCACATTTTGCATATCTGTTCATCCAGCAATAGATGCTTGGATCAGTAGATATTGTTTTTACCCTTTGGCTATTATTAATAATACTGCTTTGAACATTGGTGTACAAATGCCTGGTTGAGTCTCTGCTTTCAATTCTTTTGGGCGTATACTTGAATGCTTGTTTAGAAAAGTACTGGAATATGTGGTATACCTTTTCATAACTACTGTAGATTCACAGAAAGGAAATTTTTCTAAGGGTTGTCTATAGAACAGATTACAAATGTCAAGTGATCAAATGTAACGAATGAAGTTAGGCTGTAGTATTGTGATTAGATAACAGTCTTGATAAGTTGGGATTATCAAGCATATCCATGTAGTGTATTATCTGTGTGATCAGACTGGTAGAAAATATTGCATCCTTTTCGTTTGACATTAATTAATAAAAAATTCAGACCAGAGTTCCCATTTCAGCAACAATAGATAACGTTGATTGAGTACTACTACTCGAAATATGGTATATTTGGTACTTTTCTCCATTTTCACATTTAGCTCTCTCAACAAGCTTACATGGTAACTACCATAATTATCTAATATAGGGAAACAGAAGCCCTGAAAATTTAAGTCACATATTCAAGATCCTACAGGAAATAAATGGTAAAGTTAGAATTCAAGTATTGGTCTTTCTGGATTCTTGAGACACAGCTCTTACATACTGTGCTATACTTTGAGCCCATGATTTTTACCTTTCATCTCTCAGAAAATTCCATTGAAATGATGAGCAAAAGGAGAAAACTATTTCCCTAATGACAGAGGAAGCTACCATGAGCCAGAAAGTTTGGGAATTTGCATAATATAAAGGAGATGATTACTGATAGTTGCAGTCAATTCAGTATAGACAGTGGAGAAATCCAAAAAGAAGTGAGAAAGTAGTGCAGGAAGAGCAGAAGCAGAGGCTGTGAAGGAGGCTACTGAAGGATTATTTTAAAATGCCATGGGACGTTTACAAGAATTGATCATGTACTAAATCATACCAAAAATTTCAAAATAGAGCGTATTAAACTCTCACAGGTCACTGTCTTTTATAGCAGTGAATGAAAACTATAATAATAATTAAAGGTTTAAAAATATTCATCTATTTGAAATAGCAGTTGGATCAAAGATGATAAAAATTGAAATTAGTTATTATTTAGAAATTAATGACAATGAGGACACTAAACAAGTACCTTAGGGATGTAGCCAAAACCACACTCTGGAGAAAATTCATAGCTTTGAATGTTTTTATATAAATAAGAAATTTAGAAAACAATGAACTTGACTTTCAAGAAGCTAAAAAAAAAAAAAAAAGAATAGTAATAAAAAATAACCAAAACTAGAAAAAGAAATAGTAATTTAATTTATTAGGGAACATTGTTAAAGTAAAATTGAAAAATAGTACTTTTTAAAAACTGAATTTGTGAAAAGAATAAAATTTTAAACTTATTTGATAAATTTAAACATTGTGAAAAGAGAAAATTTCTAGAAAAAGACAAATGATAGTTGGCTTCAGAAATAGGCAATATAAATATAGAATGATAACTTGAAAAGATTAATAAAGCTATATTGCAATCTCCATCCTTCGAAAAATCTGTCAGGTTTAGGTGGTTATATAGGTGTTTCAGGAACAGATAACTATTACTTAAATAGTACCAAATCATAGGAAAGGTATGTGTGTATGTATATCATACAACAGTGAAAGAAAAATCAAGCATAATCCCCCATCTCAGAGATCTATTTCTGAGTTTTTTCATCCTTCCTTTTTATGACATGCAGTTTTCAAACTGTGCCACCGGGAACCCCAGTGTTGCTTTGGGAGCCCTGGAAGGCCTCACAGGTAGATGGCTAACTGATCAGAGCATTGGATCCCTGCTCCTGTTTTATTCAGAGCAGGTTAATTTCCATTGTTTACATTGGGGGTTGAGTAATACTTTGTTTGAGACAAAAGTATTCTTTTAATTTTTTTGTTAAGTTTCGAAAGTTACATTTTTAAAAGCACACAAAATGTATACACTTTGTTTTTCTTATAACAATGTACTATGAACATCTATCTATGTCATTAAAAATTCTTCACAAATATTTTGTTGAAAAAAATTAATACTAATACATAGAGAAAAAAATGAAAGGCCCCCATTACCACCATCCGTCCCAACCCCAATCCCACTCTCCCTCAAGTGTTTGATGAAACCTTTCTCTAGGAATTTAGTGTTATATGTGTGAGTACCTGTGTGTGTTGTAGATGATTTTTAAACATAAATATGATGCTATTTTTTGGTTTAATGTATTCTAAAAGATGTTCATATCTACTTGCTTCATCCTTTTTAATGATATACTTATTTAGTGGTATTTTTATTCTTATGAAAGTAATGCATATCAATGGCTTAAAAAATGTAGTACTACATAGTTGTTGATGACAACCAGCAATTTTCAAGTTGCCCAGCTACTTTCAAGTTTTTAGCAGCTGTGTTTCCCTCTGTATTTTTGAATAACTTATTCATATTGCTAAATCTTATTTTTTTTTTCGGTTACAGATATCACTTATTGATTTTCCTATAGAAGATGAGTTTTGGTCTTTTACCATCTATAACCCTCCCCACCCCGAAACACACAGAATAGCATTCTCTCAGTCACATATTTCCCCTCTCCCATTCTTTCTATACCTTTAGAGCATTTTTACATTAAATCAGAAGTTACTGTTTACATTTTAATGAGCATGCTGAAGCAGTTAGTAGATTACCTTTCCTTTCTTATACAACTTTTTGTCACATAAGCGTTCTTGGGTTTCACATATTTCTCATTCTTGATTTTATTCCCTCGTTTTGGTGAAACATGTGCCAGTAGTTTTCTTGAGAAAGTACTTGTTAGAGGCAACATTTTTAGACCTAGCATGACTAAAAAGAACTTCCTCCTTCTCTTTTTGAGACAGAGTCTTGCTCTGTCGTCCAGGCTGGAGTGCAGTGGCACAATCTCTGCTCACTGCAAACTCCACCTCCTGGGCTCAAGCAATTCTTCTGCCTCAGCCTCCCAAATAGTCATGGCTACTGGTACCCACCACTATGCCTGGCTAATTTTTGTATATTTTAGTAGAGATGGGGTTTCACCATGTTGGCCAGGCTGATTTTGAACTCCTGACCTCAAGTGATCTGCCTGCCTTGGCCTCCCAAAGTGCTAGAATTACAAGCATGAGCCCAGTTTCTTTATTCTTCTTTTGATAGTTTGACTGTGTGTAGAACTCTAGGTTGGAAATTACTGTATCTTCCGAACTTTGAAGATGTTTCTCCACTGACTTCTAGCTTTGCTGTTGCAACTAAGAAGTCTCAGCCATTCTGATTCCTGTGATTTATTTATTGTAACCATCCTTTGATGGTCTCTCCTGGTATCCTGAAATTGCAGTGAGGTGCCTTGCTAGGGGCCTGTTTTCATCTATTGTGCTGGGCACATGGTGGTTCCATTTAATCTGGAAACTCATGTCCTTTAGAGCTGAGAACTTTTCTCACATTATTTCTTTGAAAAAATACTACTCTTCATTTTTCTGTCTTTCTCTGGGGCCTCTGTGGTAGAATGTTAAATCTCCTGTACTGCTCCTCAAATTTTCTTGTTTTTTCTCTCCTATTTTCCATCTCTCTCTTTTAGTTTTCTCTCCACTTTCTTCAGCGAATCTTTCCACCTTTAGAAATTTACTTCTGCCATTATATTAATATTTTCACTCATCTGTGAGACTGTTATTTATAGATTTTAAAAATTGTTCTTCTCCTTGTATTATTTTCTTGCTCAATATTCCTATCTTCTGTTTGTTTTGTTCCATAACTTTGA